ATGCCCAACCCTAAACAGGTTTTTTGTGTGGTATAGTCAAGGATCAGGCTTATGTGATTGGAAGGCCCTGGGGCAGGAGCTCCTCCAGTGGAGTGCTGGGTTGTATCTGCCCACTGCAACTGACTGAATGGAGCTGGCCTCCTCAGTCAGGGCAAGGACACTGAGCTAAGCAAGGCGCTCACCTCAGGGACATCGGAGTGCAGAATCAGCACCTAAGAACAAACACATCCCTAAAGTTGGCCTTCTAGGTGCTGCGATTGCTTTTTCTTAGTCTCTGCATGATATCCCACAGCAAACCCCACTTTGAACCTCTCTGGCTGTTTTCCTTTTGAGTCATTCTCTCCTCCTTGGATTCCAGGAACAAAAGGATTGACTGATACACATCTTTGTGACAAGGGCTGAAACTATACCCAAGCAACTGCAAGTCTAGCTGGATAGACCACCCTGCCCCTCAAATGAAGGCAACTATCTATGAAGGAGAGGGTGCCCCCTAGGGCAGGCATAGCCATATTCTCCCTTCAAGTGATGATAGTGATAACCATATCTCTAGAGCCTATGGCAGAACCTGAAGAGATAATGGTTAACCAGAAAACACCTTAACCAAGAATGCTTAAGCAAACCTCTCACCCCCGCTCCAATTATTCCTCTATTTAAACCTGAAGCTCCTATTAGTACTTCAAAGATGGACCTCTTTTCTGTTCTTTTTCTCAGTATGACAAAGTTGACCAAATCTCCGTTTTCTGCCTTTCCCCACCTCTCATCTCTTTGTCATATTGGTATGTGTGGTTGAGCCTTTGTTGGGACTTCCGGAACCAATAGCTTTTCCCCTTAAACTCCAATAACACGGAGTTGATCTGATGGCTCTGTATCTTCACCACATCCCTCCAATGCAGATTATTTTCTAGCAGGTTACAGACATTTTTTTTTTTTTATCTCATCTGTGATAGTCAGCTCTCAATATGGTCCCTGATGGTCCTTGTAAAGAAATAAATTGCTAAGGTCCAGTTTCAGTGAGATGCACTTAGAGCTCATCAAAAAGTCACAGGTAAGCAGGAAGGACTTGGGGACTGGGCTCCCATCCCCCCCCTAGCTGGTAATGAATTGTAAAATAAGGGCAAATAGGGCAAATTGTGCAGTTGATCTTTTTTTTTTAAAGCCAGGATCTCACTATGTATCCCTGGCTTCAAAACTCTGTGTGTAGACCAGGTTGGCCTCAAACTCACAGAGATCTGCCTGTCTCTGTTTCCCAAGTGCTGAGATTAAAGGTGTAGGCCATCACACCCAGCAAAACTGATCACTTTCTGAGGGTCAGAAACAAATAGGACATAATGTTATGACTCAGTAAAGCTGAGGGGTGAACAAATGAGTGTTTGTTGTCATGCAGCCTTTATTATTTTTAATCCCAGCTTGTGTGTGTGTGTGTGTGTGTGTGTGTGTGTGTGTTTACATGTGAAGACGGGAGGACAACCTTGGGTGTCATCCTCAGGAATGCCCTCCACCTTCTTTGAGGCAGTCTTTCTTTTGTCTGAAATGCACCAATGCAGCTCGACTGACTGGCCAGGGGGCCCAGTTTCTGTCTCCCCAGTGCTGGGATTACAGGCATGAGCCATCACACTTATCTCTCTATACATGCCTAGCATTTTTATCTGGGTTCTAGAGATTGAACTCAGGTCCTCGTGTTTGGAAAACAAGCACTTTACTGAGCCATCCCTCCTGCCTAGTTTTTGTATTAAAGGAAGAAATATTTACTTTGGTTCATGCTTTCAAAGGTTTTTAGTCCATGGTCACTTGGCTCCATGTTTCTGGGTCAGAAGGCTGCTCATGGAAGCTAGGAAGGCGGAGAGAGAGAGGGAGGGAGGAGGGAAGAGAGAGAGATAGAGAGAGAGAGGGGAGGAAAGAGGAGAGGAGGGGAATGGAAGGGAAGAGGAGACGGGAGAGGAAGACAGAGGGGGAAGAAGGAAGAGAGGAGGAAGGAGAAGAGAGGACAGAGATTCGGTAGACTTACCTCGAAACATTTCACAACAAAGTAAATGATTCCTTTTGAAAACAAACAAACAAACAAAAAAGAAACAAAAATGAAGAAAAAAAAAGTTGGGCATAGTGGTGCATGCCTTTAATAAAACACTCAGGAGTCAGAGACAGGCAGATCTCTTTGCGATCAAGAGATTAAGTCAGCCCTAAATTAACACTGAGGAAGAGGAGGCAGGGCACTTGAGGCTTTACCCAATATCCCATCAGCAATGGCACTTCGGTTGCGGTTCTAGAAAAGTCTGTCAGTTTCCAGGACCCTGGAGTGTGTGTTCACAGCCCTCTCAATGCGTTCCATGTCAGCTGTGAAGAAGGGGCTGGGCGACAGCATGGCCTTCCCATGAGTTCTGGCACAGGCTGTGTGTTATAGGAATGCAGCATCATACAGAAGCATTGCTGAGCATCAAAATGGCCAGGTTGTGGTTTCAGCATCCACTCTAAATAGGCTTTTAAAAATCCTTTATAGTACCAGAAGCTTGGTGGCTTGTGAGTGTGTGGGCAGAGTGATGCTTAGCATCAGGAATCAGGGCTGAAGAGATGGCTCACTGGTTAAGAGCACTAACTGCTCTTGCAGAGGACCCGGGTTCGATTCCCAGCACCCACATGACAGTAAACAACTGTCTATAATTTCAGTTCCTGGGGATTCAACACCCTCTTCTGACCTCCCTAGGCATTGCACAACACAGGTGCACTTACACATACAGGCAATACACTCATACACATAAAATAATAACATTTTTAAAAAGAAGCAACATTCAATTTCATGATCTACCAACCCCTTGGGAGGCAGCCTCAGACCCCATGAAGGCGCCTGCAAAATGCCACTACAGCAGGTGGTGTGGTGTTACAGGAGCCTCAAAGAATCTATGAATGAAACAAAAGTATCAATGCTTTAAAAGTGTACAAAGAAAACAATCAGCTACTACAGCCATCAAAAGAAGGCCTCTGCATTAAAAACAGAAAGAGGAAAAAAAGCATTGGAAGAACATTGACTGGAAGTTTTGTAGCAATAATGTCACAGTGAAGATGATTTATAGTTATCCTCCCCCACCTTCTGTGTGGCTTTGTTTGAATCAGGGACTATACTCCTTCCTTTTCTTGGACATGAGAAGTTCCTAAGGAAAACATTCACCAGTTGTAAACATTTGAAGAATAAAAAGTTTTATTTAAAAAGAGGGGGCTGTTCTTGCAGAAGCTCCAGGTTCAAATCCCAGCACCCACATGGTGGCTAACAACCGGCTTTAACTCCAGTTCCAGGGGATCCAACACCCTTTTCTGGCCTCCCCAGGCACTGCAGGACACAGGTGCACTTACATGTAGGCATAACACGTACAATAAAAATAAATAAATAAGTGAATTTTAAAGAGAGAGAGAGATCAAGGCAGCCTGGTCTACATAGCAAGTTACCGGTCAACTGGGGCTACAGGGAGGCTCTGTCTCAAAAAGAAAAAAAAAAAAAATCAGGATAAGCTCTGCTTTTAGGGTTGTACTAGAATGCCGGCCAAAATAATAAAAGAAGAAAAGGAAATAAAATGCTTTAAGTTGAAGCAAATGATCCACACATTGTTACAATATCTGAAATAAGATCTTTTAGAGGATTTGTGTGTGTGTGTGTGTGTGTGTGTGTGTGTGTGTGTAACCAATAAGAGTAGCTGTGCTCAGGAGTAGGGGATACAATAAAGACACCTGAGTTCTTGCTCTGAATGACAGTGGAAAGGTGAGGGACCCCGGGGGGTTGTTCAATACAAAGCATTGTTATGGGCTGGGTGCTGGATGTCTCTGTCTACCCGGGCCTGCGGAAGCTTTGTATTGCTTGGGGTCTTCTGCTGAGCGCAGAGCTTTGCCAGCCACTTGCTGCTTCCTGTTTTGATTTTTAAATTTCCTCAGTCAGTGATCTGACTTTGAACCAAATGCTTGTTGGTAGAGAAAAGGAAAAAGCAGAACTCTGTTTTCCTGTTAACTATTTTAATTTTGGGGCTAACGTGGTCCTGTGTGCGTTTCCAACAAGCCAGTCTTATACTTCTGCAATTCAGACCCAGTTGGGAAAGTCAGAGTTCCAGCACATCAACTGAAAATCACATGAAGTTCGCTAGTGTCTCTTCATACTCATGTAGGGGATGGAAATAGATGTAACCAGAGGTAGTATTGGTGGTATTTCTTAACTTTTTCTAAAATCTAAATTTGAAAAAAGAAGTTTAATTTTGGTGAAGGAAGCATAAGAAAACGAGACACAGTAATAATAGGAACTTGATTCAACAAGTAACTTGTCCAGGTGTGTCTGGAGGTCAGGTCAGCTTCAGTCCATGATGAGACTGCGAACCACAAGAGTTGCTCTCTGGGTATCTGCTGCATGAGCCCAGGCAGCCTGTGTATTTGCAAAACCAGGGTCCTGGACTATTCACGACCAAAGTTATTCCAGTTATAAAATTCCACAGCTTAAAGTCAGAAAGAGATCTGAGGGCTGGGGATATGGCCCATTTGGCAGAGGGCTTGCCTTCCTTCCAACAGGAAGCCCTGGGTTCCATCCCTAGCAATACATAAAACTGAACACGATGGTGCACATTTGTAATCACAGCACTCGAGACCTGGAGGCAGGAGGATCAGAAGTTCAATGTCATTCTTGGCTACATAGTGAATTTGAGGCCAGCCTGGGCTATGAGATAGATAGATAGATGGGGCGGGGGCGGAGAAGAGAGCAGTTGGAGGGACACACAGCCAGCATTTGCTAAGTGCTTACAGTGTTTTGAGGAACTGGGTGAAAGCATGTTTTGGACCTCATTTGTAGACCAAGCAGTAATTTCTGAGAAACACATGATTACAGGAAACAGAAAATCTGTTCAGGAAAAATTATAGATTGGCTCCCGACTTCCTTCCTGATTCAGAGCCTGGGAAAGTGTTCTAGTGGATGATCTTCTAGGGAGGGGACTGTCTTAAAAGCTTTTAGCTTGAGCTCTAGGGGAAACTCGATTTGTGGAACCTGATGATTTGAATGGGCTGGTAGAAGGAAGAAAATGGCTTTGGAAAAGTATAAGTGGATTTATTTTCTCATCTCCTGAATGGTTGTTATGGTTGTTGTTTTTCTTTTCTTGAAAGACCATGCGAGATGGGATGAGAGCAAATGACCTTATATCCATGTTTTGCACTGCTCTAGGCCACCACATCCAACATACAGGACCTCATCTAATCTTCACAACAGAGAGTGAGAGAGGTATTATCATCAGCCCGTTTCACAGATGAGGAAGCTGAGGCACAGAAAGTTAAGTGACACATCAAGATCCACTACAGTAAGTAGCAGAGCTCGAATTTGAACCCATATATCTGGCGTATCATGCCCTTTAGCCTAAATTTAGAGGCCTTCCTAAATGGCTCTCTGTTCATGGTGTAAAAATGAAGTTGTGGTCACTATAAAAAACAGTATAATAGTTTTCTGTGGCTGCTACAACAAACGGCCACTGCCTTAAATGGCTTGAAAGAACGCTCATTTGTTCTCTTAAAGCTCTGGAGGACAGAACTCTAAAATGGGTCCCATGGGGCTCTGCCTTCCTTCTCAAAGCTATATAGGGGAATCTTAGACTTTGTCTTTGGCTCATGGCCTCCTTCCATCTTCAAAGGCAGCAGTGGCCAGATGAATCCTTTTCATCTGCGTTAGTCTGATGCTTTCTCCCGTTTCCCCTGTTTCCTTATAATAAATTTTATGACTATGTTGGGCCTTATCTAAAGTTTTTATAGCCATGATAGAATTTGTAGCTCTTTAATGTGAAGTTTTTTTTTTAAAAGAATAACCTTATTGAGGTATAATTCACATACCATAAACAGCATTTTAAATGTATACTTCAGTGGTTTTTAGTGTATTCCCGTATGTGTATCCATCACCACTGTCTAATTTTGAGCGTTTTCATCATCCCCAAAACCTTGCAACCACTAATCTTCTTTCTAGGTATGTGGGTTTTCCTGATGGGAATTTTCCAAAAACAGAATGAGACATTGTATGGCTTTTTGTGACTGCCTCACCTAATTGTCCTGGTGTCCTCAAGGCTCATACACATCCAGAAGCCCCCTCCCCACCATTTTTTTTTTTTTGAGACGGAGTCTACTATGTAGCTCTGGCTAGCCTGGAACTCACTATATGGAACATGCTAGCCTCAAACTCACAGATATCTGCCTGACTCTGCCTCCTGCATGGTGGGATTAAAGGTGTGTGCCATCACACCCCTCAGGGACACTTTTTAAAATATAAGTAAATCAAGGATTGAGGGGACAAGGCAGAGACTGAGATAAAATATTTGTAAAGGACATATCTAATAAATGGCTATTTTCCAAAATTCACAAATAACACTTCAAAATCAGCAGCAACAGCACTGTTGCTTGACACAAACAAAAGATTTTTGTTTTTTTTCTCCATTTGTGTTAAAAGTCTGATCTCAAAGAATTACATCCTTTCTTCCCAGTGACTAGTTTTTTGCATTGAAAGAGTGGCTTTGTGGGGAAAAAAAGTAGAAATGAAAGTAGAAAAAAATGATGTTGACAGATGTGTGGTACAGAATGAGTTTGGAAACAGATGTGTGGCCCAGAATGAGTTTGGAAACTGAGTTGTATTTCCTTTGGGTGGGCCTCAAATTTTCCAATAAACCCTGTTATCATTAACACAGACAGACAGACAGACAGACAGACAGACAGACAGACAGACAGACAGACAGACAGACAGACAGACAGACAGACAGACAGACAGACAGACAGACAGACAGACAGACAGACAGACAGACAGACAGACAGACAGACAGACAGACAGACAGACAGACAGACAGACAGACAGACAGACAGACAGACAGACAGACAGACAGACAGACAGACAGACAGACAGACAGACAGACAGACAGACAGACAGACAGACAGACAGACAGACAGACAGACAGACAGACAGACAGACAGACAGACAGACAGACAGACAGACAGACAGACACACACACACACACACACACACACACACACACACACTGTTCATTTATATAACCCAGTGTCTCTCTTTAGAAATCAACTGCATTAAGACTGACATTTCTCAAGGAACTGCTGAGGAGTTGTCTCCCCCAGGTAGAAAGCCTCAGATTAGCTCAGTTTCTGAGCCCTGCTCTGCAGAATCAACTCCCTCACACCCCTAGGGCCACTTACTAAGTTGTCCTAAGCCTCAGCTTTCTCATCTGTAAAATGAGAATAGTAATCCCTACTTCATGATGTTTTGGCCATGAATCATAAGTTATTGTCAACAGGTCTGGAGAGATGGCTCAGCAGTTAAGAGCACATACTGCTCTTGTAGAGGTCTGTTCCCAGCTCCCACACTGAGCAGTTCATGACTGCCTGTAACTCTGGTTCCAGGGGATCCAACACCCTCTTTCGTTAACACAGAGAGAGAGAGAGACACACAGACACACAGACACACAGACACACACACACACACACACACACACACACACACACACACACACTGTTCATTTATATAACCCAGTGTCTCTCTTTAGAAATCAACTGCATTAAGACTGACATTTCTCAAGGAACTGCTGAGGAGTTGTCTCCCCCAGGTAGAAAGCCTCAGATTAGCTCAGTTTCTGAGCCCTGCTCTGCAGAATCAACTCCCTCACACCCCTAGGGCCACTTACTAAGTTGTCCTAAGCCTCAGCTTTCTCATCTGTAAAATGAGAATAGTAATCCCTACTTCATGATGTTTTGGCCATGAATCATAAGTTATTGTCAACAGGTCTGGAGAGATGGCTCAGCAGTTAAGAGCACATACTGCTCTTGTAGAGGTCTGTTCCCAGCTCCCACACTGAGCAGTTCATGACTGCCTGTAACTCTGGTTCCAGGGGATCCAACACCCTCTTCTGGCCTCTTAAGGCACCTGCAGTCATGTGCATATACCCACATACACAAAATATTGAAAATTTAAAAATAAAAAATAACATCAATAGGAATGATGCTGAGTTTGCTTATTATTTCTGTAACATTAAAGAGGGGAAATAGTTTCACATTGGCTAATGGAAGCCTGGCATGGTGGCATACACCTTTAATCTCAGGACTTGGGAGGCAAAGGCAGGTGGATCTCTATGGGATCAAGGCCAGTCTAGTCTACATAGCAAGTTCCAGGCCAGCTGGAGCTATAAGGAAACACTGTCTCAAACAAACAAACAAACAAAAAACTAAAAATCAAATTGGCTAATGGGGTCCTTGACTTCAAGTCTGTTCCCTGTCAATCTACAACTTCCGCTCCTGCCACCATCTGGGACTGGCTGAATGCCCAGCGGACGCTGTAGCTGGCTGATGTTTCTCTCCTTAAACCTGTTTGGGATGATGGAAGACCAAGCACAAAAAAAGCATAGCTGTAATTAGAGTATGAGCAACAGGGGTGTGTGTAGGGGTGTTGGTAATAGGCAGGTGTTGGTATGATCATGAGTCTTGGTCCATTTTATGTTGCTACAACAGAATACCTGAGGTAGAGTAATTTGTATAAAAAAGATTTATTTGGCTCATTGTTCTGAAACTTGGAAATCCAAGAGGTTGTCAGAGATCTCTGTTAAGTGCATTCACATTGCCTCATTCCATGGTGAAAGGAAGAAGGGCAGGGGAGAATGTACAAGAGTTGGTGGGAGCAAGAGCGGCCAGCATTCATAGCAAGCTCACTTAAGGTGGCCAGTCAGAGATAACACAGTCTTCTGGCTTAAATCACTTTCCTTCAGAGTCTTTGGGCAAGTGGATTAGTCTTCAGTCTCTCTCTCTCTCTCTCTCTCTCTCTCTCTCTCTCTCTCTCTCTCTCTCCTGAGATAAGTCTCTCTATGTAGTCCTGGCTTGCCTGGAACTAGGTAGATAGTATAGCCTCAAACTCACAGGGATCCTCCTGCCTCTGCCTCTTGAGAGCTGGAATTAAAGGTGTGTATCCCCATGTCCAACTTGGTCTTCTCTTTATGAATAGAATCACTGAGACTTACACAGGCTTAGAGCTGCCTAATTAATAGCTACATTTCTCAGCCTTTCCTGGATGTTTCCGCTGCTACTGTCTCTTTTTTTATTTTTATTTTATGTATATTAGTGTATTGCCTGCGTGTATATAAGTACACCCCTGTTGTGCAATACCCGTGGAGGTTAGAAGAGGGCATTGGATTCCCTGGAACTGGAGTTACTGACCATTGTTAGTCGCTATGTGGGTGCTGGGAACCAAACCTGGGTCCTCTGCAAGAGTAGCTAGTGCTCTTAACCTCTGAGCCATCTCTCCAGCCCCAATAATGTTTTTTCAAAGAATCAAAACACAAAAGAACGGTATGGTCCCAGTAATGTAAAAAATATTAAAGACAGGCTGTATCTATATTAGTCTGTTTTTATTAGTGTAATTAAATACCTGAGGTTGGGTACTTATAAGAGAAAGAAGTTTATTTAGTTCATTGACTTTTTTTCTGTTTTTTTTTTTGTTTGTTTTTTTTTTTTTTTTTTTGAGACAGGGTCTCCCAGTAGCCCCAAGTGGCCTGGAACTTACAGTGTAGACTAGGCTGACCTCGATCTCACAGTGATCCACTTTCCTTTGTATCCCAAGTGTTGGGGTTACAGAGATCTGCCTGCCTCTGCCTCCTGAGTGTACATACACCTTTAATCCCAGCACTCAGGAAGCAGAAGCAGGCAGATCTCTGTGCGATTAAGGCCATCCTGGTCTACATAATGAGTTCCAGCCTAGCTGTGGCAACAGGGAGTGCCTGTCTCAAAAAAAGAAAAAAGAAAAGAAAAAGAAAAGAAAAGAAAAAAGAAAGAAAAGAATTAGGATCAAGCCAGGAGTAATCCCAGTATTTGGGAGGTAGAGGCAGGAGGATTAGGAATTCAAAGTTATCCTGTTACTTAGTAACTCTTTGAGACCAGCCTGTGCTACACAAGACTCTGTCACAAAAACAAGTCAACAACCCCCTTTCCCCAAAAAACCTTGACCAAAAAATAAGCTAACCAGGGTTTCACAGAGAACACCAGAACTCCATCAATCCCCTAGGGCACCTTCTCATGACCTAAGAACCTCCTGATAGACCTTACCTATTAAAGGTCCCCTCACCTTGAGCTGGCAAGATGGCACAGTGGGTAAAATCACTTGCTGCACAGGCCTGGACAACTTGAGTTTTGTCCATGGGACCCACAATGTGGCAGGAGACAACGACTCCCTTAAGTTGTGCTCTGATTATCCACACAAGCTCCATGGCGCGCACACACACACAAAATGAATAAATAAACATAGTTAAAAAATTTAATGGCACACCATCTCAGTCTCACCACACAAGGAATCAAGACTTGGATAAAGGAAACTTTAGGAGGACACACTGGAACCACATCCAAACCACAGCACAGGAAAACCAATGGGGTACAGACTCAGGTGCCAAACATATAAAGAGATGCAAAGAGGGGCTGAGGAGATGGCTTAGCTGGTAAGGATTGAGTTTAGTACATGAAGATGTGAGTTCAATCCCCAACACCTTGTAAAAGACCAGGCACAAAAAGCATATCTGTAATCAGAGCATGGGCAGTGGTGTGTGTGTGGTGTTAGGGGGGTGTTGGTAGTGGGCAGATCCCTGGGGCTTGCTGCCCAGCTGTAGGACCCAGAGATCCCCCTCATTCAACCCCTCCTGACACCCCACTGATTGCTCTTTTCAACTTCTGTGTAATGCTTGAAATGCACACTTGGTGCTACTCCTCCCCTGCTGTTCCCATTCCAGGAAACTATAGATTAGATAAGCCCGGGTATGAACACTGCTCTATAGAGTGAAAATAAAGACTCCTGACCACACAGATGGCCGGCACACTCCACAACCCTGAGAACAACACCCACCAATAAAAAATCTCCACGACCGCATCCTGTACAACCGATCAGTTCAAAGGTGCATTGGCGCGAGCGGGATTCTTGGACCAACCACAAAGTGACACTGTTATTCCCCTCCTCCCTTTGTCTCTAACCTATAAAGAGCCCCTTCCCCCACCCGGGGCGCTCAGCACGGTTCCGTTATATCAGTGGTCTGAGAGCCCAAGCTTAAGCCAGAATAAACTATAAACCTTGCTTTTGCATTTTTGGTGTGTTGGGTCCTCGGTGGTCTTCTTGGGGTCCTGTGAATGAGGTATAACACAGCCAGTCTAGCCCAATTAGCAAGTTCCAGGTTCAGTAGGAGACTGTGTCTCAAAACATGATTGAGAAAGACACCCAGTGTCAGCCCCTGGTCTCACATGCATACATGTACACATATACAAACACGTGCTCATGTATACACACAGACACACACACAGAGGGAGGGAGGGAGGCAGGGAGAGAGAGAGAGAGAGAGAGAGAGAGAGAACCCATAGGAGCTTTGAGGAGCTGGTGGTATTTTATTTTCTGAACTGGGTGGTGAGTAGCTTGGGTGATTATGGTTTATCATTTATTAAACTAGGCATACATAGTTTATATGACTATCATTTTTGAGACAGGGTCTCCCTATCTGCAGAGTGAACTTGAACTCACAATCCTCCTGCTTCACTTGGGAATAGATGCATGTACCGCTGTGACCAATTTTTAAAGTATTTTTTGTTTATTATTTTCATTTTATTTTATGTGTATGAGTCTAGTGTCTGCATGTATGTAAGCGCACCCATGTTGTGCAGTGCTCACAGAAGAGGGCCCCAGATCCCTTGGAACTGGAGTTATGGACGGTTGTTAGCCACCATGTGGGTGCTGGGAACCAAACCCAGATTCAAGAACAGACAGTACTCCTAACCACCGAGCCATCTATCTAACCCCTACTGTGCCCAATTTACAAACAGAACTTGATGCATTTTTTGTGTGCTTGTTACGTTTCACAATACAAAGTAATAAATAAGCCTGGGGGGTTTGATGAAAGAGCCTCTAGGGAAGAGGAGAATGTCCATGAATGGGCCTGAGGCAGGACTGAGCTTAGTACATTGAATTTCAGTTAAGGGGCCAGTGTGGCTGGCTGAGGGAGCCAGGGGACAACTAGTGGAGACAGAGGAAGCTGGGAAGCCAGGTCACAGAGGCCTCAGAAACCACAGGAAGACACGATCTGGGCAGAGAAATGATGTCCTGTAAAGTTTTAACATCTAAAAATGTAACTGTGGGGCTGAACAAATGGCTAAAGGTGGATAAAGGAACTTGCCACCAAGAGTGAGTGAGATCTTGAGGATCCATATGGTAGAAGGGGAGAACCAATTCCCAAAGTTGTCCCCTGACTTCTTCACTTGCCCAATGTAGCATGTGCTTTGTGTGTGTGTGTGTGTGCACGCACACACACTATATATATATCAAACTCAGGCATTATTTCTCAGGAAAATAAGCCGGGGGGGTTGATGAAAGAGCCTCTAGGGAAGAGACAATGCATGTACTACCAGACCTAAATAAATCTTTAAAAAAAAACAAAACAAGCTTTGTTATTTAGATGGGGTATGCATGCCTTTAATCCACTCCCAGCACTCCTGAGGCGGAGGCAGACATATCTTTGTGAGATCAAGGCCAGCCTGGTCTGCACAGTGAATTGTGAATTCTAGGACAGTTGGGGCTACAAGGAGACCCTTTCTCAAAAAATAAAGTTAAGCCAGGCATAGTGGCAAATGCCTTTAATCCCAGCACTGGGGAGGCAGAAGCAGGTGGACCTCTGTGAGTTCAAGGCTAGCCTGGTCTATATAGCAAGTTGCAGGCCAACTGGGGCTACAGGGAGACTCTGTTTCAAAACAAAAATTTTAAAACAAACTAAAAAGACGTATTTATTTTTATTTTATGTGTATGAGTATTTTGCCTATGTGTGTATGTGCGCCACTTGCATGCCTGGGGCCCACAGAGGGCACTGGATCTGTAGAACTGGAGTTACAGATTAGTTGTTAGCTGCCATATGGGTTCTAGGAACATTTCGCCAGTGATCTTAACTGTTGAGTCATCTCTCCAGTCCCAGTAAATGTAATTTAAAAAAAATTGTTTTAAGTGTGATTCTGAGGTAGAGTGCTTGCCCAGTGTGCACAAGGCTTTAGAGCTGCAAAAACAAACAAACACTCTGTGGAATTTGAACACGGTAGTGAGGTAAGCTAAGAAAGAAAGATGGGGGGGTCAATGGAGAAAAAAAACAAAAATTACTGAGCAGCTCGCCTGTGTCTCCATCTTCCCACAGTTTAAGCAAAGTTAACCACTGTTCCATTTGCTAGACAAGAACATCTAACTGGCAAGCAGTATAGCCAGGATTCAAACCTAGCTCAGGGTAGCATGAAGACCAAAGCTTGCCCTGGAGGCACGTTAGCCAGGTTACAGGTCAGCTCACAGGATTCTCCACCTCTGCCATACATACAGACTTTTAAGCAAGTTGCTTCCCTCATGTGCAAAATGGGAGTTAGAATCAACAAATGAGTACTGTTTTTCTTTGGTTTCCATCTGGGTTCTTTCCTGCAAGTTCCAGGGAAGATCCACCTCTAAACTCCCTTTGGGTTGTTGACTTAATTAATTAGTTCCCTGCAGTTGTGGGTCTGATGGCCCCATTTCCTTGCTGATGGTCAGTTGGGGGCTTCTCCTAGCAACTCAGGCCTGGCTGCATGGCTGGTGGCCCTTCATCTTTGAGCCAGCAGAGAACCTTTCTACTACCTGCCAGAGAAAACTCTCCACTTTTAAAGGAGCTATCTTATCCCATTCAGGGGGTTTCCCCTTTACTTAAAGAGGGGACTGGGTATACTGGTGAGGTTATCAGAGATCATTCTCTGAGGACAGCCTACTGCTGAGGTAATTCCTTACCAGTTGGTAGGAAATCCTTAGAAAGCTCTTCAGTATACAGAAGCACAGTGAGCTACCTGCCTTTGTCATGTCATTCATGTCTTTTTTTCTCCAGACAGGGTCTCCCTGTAGGCCCAGCTAGCCTGGAACTTGCTATGTAGACCAGGCTGGCCTCAGTCTTACAGAGATCCACCTGCCTCTACTTCCTGAGTGCTGGATTTAAAGGTGTGCACCACCACGTCTGGGCATTTAAGTGTTTTTGGCAAAGACTTTACAGTGGAGCTAAATATTAGCCTTATGATACCATGTATTTATTTATTTTGTTTTCTGAGATAGAGTCTCATTTGGCCCAGGCTGGCCTTGAACTCCTGACTTTCCTATCTCCTTTTTTTTTCTGTTTAAAAATTTTTAAAAATACTTTATTATTTTATGTGTATGAGTGTATTGCCTGCATGTATGTGAGTGTACCTATGTGGTGCAATGCCTCGGAGGTCAGAAGAGGGCTTCGGACTCCCCTGAATTGGAGTTAAGGATGGTTTGTAGCTGCCATGTGGGTGCTGGGAATCGAACCCGGGTCCTCTGCAAGAGCAGTCAGTGCTCTTAACTGCTGAGCCATCTCTCCAGCCCTCCTATCTCCTTTATAAGGGGTGGTATGAAGTCATACCATTTAACTCAATAATATTTCATTGAGCACGTATTAAGATATCTACTATTTTAGGTCTAGTATTGGGGATCAAAGTCAGGGCTTCATGTATGCAAGGTAAGCACTTTACGAATTGGCTATATTACCAGGACTCCTCTCCCCTTGTGTGTGTGTGTGTGTGTGTGTGTGTGTGTGTGTGCGCGCAGACAGGGTCTCATTCCAAGCTGGGCTAGAACTCACTATGTAGAGCCCAGACTGGCCTCAAACTTGTGATTCTCTTGCCTTGGTATCCCTCGTGCTGAAATTGCAGGTCACTACCATGCCCTGTGTTTCAAATTTAGACACCCGAGAGTAAGGTCCTTAGAAGGCTCAAGTGATTTATCACTTGTAGGCTATTTTAGACCAACTGGTTCAGGACAGCTGCTCTGAAAAGGAGCAGCCTCAGGCCACAGACACCAGTTGTGTGACTGGAAGGGAAGGACATTTTCAGGAACTGGTTGCCCATAGATGGAAAGACTGGAGCTGGTCCAGTTAGTGAAGTGGCCAGAAGTGAAGTCACTGAGAGGCAAGGATCACAGGCCATCAACACTGTAGGGATTTATTCCAGGAGGGATGGAACCAATTTTGAGCTGGAGAATGTGATATAAAATTTGGAAACGGCACTGATGGTTGAACAAGCATGCAGGTGTCACTGATGTCAGTAAACACACACTTAAAATGGGGGTGGGGGAGTGGAGAGCTGGCTCAGTGATTAAGAACACTGGCTGCTCTCCCAGATGAGTTGAGTTAGGTTCCCAGCACCCACATCAGATGGCTGACAACCATCCATAACTCCAGCTCCAGAGGGGGGTACGACACTCCCTCTGGCCTCTTCAGCACCCACACATACTTGAATACACATAAACACTGACACATAAATTTTAACAAAAAAATCTGAAAGAAAAAGAAGGATAAAACAGAAATTTTTGTGTTGTATGTGTTAAGGTTCAGATAGCCCTGCCCCCTCACCAACAGGATCCCAAGGACTTCTCATGCTCCTGAGAAAAGGGAACCTAGCTGATAAGCACCTTGGCCTTTGAAGTCAAGAGAAGCAGACTTTTCTCCACTGTTTGGCCAACACAGCAGGCTTCCCCTTTGATCTCCAAAGAGGACAGGTTTCAACAGTCCTGCTCTCCCACTCCCCCGCCTCCAACTTTAAAAGAAATACATCTTCCCGCCTTCTGCAGGAAGCAGAAGCCTCCCCTTTAAAAAGACCCCAGCTCAAGACCTGAGCAGACATTTTCCCTGCCCGGAAGGGAATCTGCCCCATGTGTTCCTTTGCTAATAAACCCTATTTTGATGGAGTTTTAGCTGTGCCTTGGTGCCTCATCATCCATTCGCTCATTCTCCGCTAACTTTTTACCTATCAGTATGTAGCTACCATGGCTTTTAAAATTAAAAAGAATAAATTGTATATGATGAGAATAACAACAAAGGAGTTGAGAGCATAGGAAAGAACACATTTACATTTCCAAGGGAGGGGAGCGTTTGAAACACTGTAAAACCTCACCTAAGGGGGCTCAAGGGAGACTCAGGGTGCTTCCTCAGGTGGGGGCAGGTTACCTCAATGTGTTCACTTTGTGATTTATTTATTATTAAGCTTCACATTTGTAAATTGTGTCTTTTTTTCTACAGATATTATACTTTGAAATATTAACTCATTTAGGAAGATCAGTGTCTTACCCTATTTTGTTTTTTTCTTTTTTGTTTTTGAGACAGGGTCTCCCAGTAGCCCTAGCTGGCCTTCAAACTCACTGAGTAGACCAGGCAGGCCTTGAACTCACAAAGATACTCCTGCCTCTGCCTCAGGAGTACTGGGATTAAAGGTGTGCACCACCACATCTCGCTGTTTGTTTCCATATTTTCTTTCAGACATGAATACATTTTATCTTGATCAAATCTACCTTTCACCACTCCCAACTCCTCTTATACACTTCCCCTCACATCCCCCTCCCAACTTCCTCTTTCTGTCTCTCTCAGTAGGTTTATATATAAACCTAAGTCTAATTAGTGTTCCCAAGTACACATGGGTGTGGGGCTGTCAACTGTAGCATTTGCAACCTGCCAGCAGCCCTAACACCGAGGAAAACTGACTTAAGAGACTGGGAGACTAGTGAACAATAGAAGGTTTTTAAAAATTATTTATTTTTATGTGTATGAGTGTTTTCCCTGTATAGATGTAAGTGCACCATGTGCTCGAAATGCCCACAGAGGCCAGAAGAGGGCATTGGATCCTCTGGAACTGGAGCTACAGATGGTTGTTAGCTGCCTTGTAGGTGCTGGGAACAAAACCCGGGTCCTCTGGAAAAGCAAATGGTGCTCTTAACCGCTGAACCATCTCTCCAACTCATAAATTTATTTTGGCTCATGGCTTGGTTTCTGGTGAGGGCCTTATGTTATGCCACAATATAATGGAAAATGCCTTGGGGGGAGGGAAGGAGGGAGGGAGAAAGGGAGGCAGAGAGAGCGAGAGAGAGACTTATGTTTTAATTAGAAAGCCTTTCCTTTGTTAACTATCCCACTCTGGCAGTGACAGCAGAAATCCACTGGACCATGAGGATTCTGCCCTTTTAAAGGCATTGCATCTCAATACCATCACATGGAATTAAGACACAGAACTATGACTGTCATTCCCAGTTCACACATGAAGAACCTGAAGCACAAAGAGATGCGTGATTGTCTGAGGCTGTACAGCCAGGAAGAAGTACTAGATCAGGAACTGAGACCTAGGCAACCCAGGCCTAGAGCCCACACCTTCAATCCCCACATCAGACAGAATAAGTAGATAAGTGCATGAATGACTATATTTATCCCTCTCTCTGAATTAGTCCATTGTGGTTCTAAATAGGGTGGTGTGTGTGTGTGTGTGTGTGTGTGTGTGTGTGTGTGTGTGTGCGTGGTGTGTGTACATGTACTTTGCTTCTCCCAGATGATTTCTAGCAGCAGCTGTAGACATTGGTTGTTACAATGTTACATTGAGGGAGGGGTGCTATCTGCACCAGGTGGACAGAGGCAAGACATGCTGCAAAGCATCCTCCAGTGCACAGGACAGCTCTCCGCAAAGCAACACACCCCAAATGTTCATAGTACTGAGGCATAGAAACTGTTCTCCACCTAACTCACAAGCCCCAATCCTGTTGCTTTCTAATCTTAATCTCTTACTTCACCCCTCACTGTTAGATTACCTTTAAAAAGACTCATCTGAAATGCCCCTCTGTGCTACCTGTCTCAAAAAATAAAGAGCTGGGTGTAGTGGCACACACCTTTAGTTACAGTTGGGAGCCTGAGGCAGGCAGATCTCTGTGAGACTGAGACCAGCCTGGTCTACATAGCAAGTTCCAGGCCAGCTACGGCTACAGGGAGACCCTGTACCAAAAGACCAAAAATAGAGAAGGGGGATGGATCGGGGAAGGAGGGGAGGAGGGAAGAAGGAACAGAGGAAGGAATCTGGTGACTCAGATGCCACACTCTGAAATCACCTGCTCACATCTGGCTTCACCAACCTCTGACTCCATAGTCTGGAAGGACTTTTCTGGTAGAAATTCTGCTGGGGTGATCCCCTCCATACCTATGTGTCTGCAGGGAGCCTGGTGCCAGCCTGCACCCAACCATCCTGCCTCCTGGGGTGTGTTGATCACTTGAGCCAGTGGTGCATTCCATTGGCTTAGCACCACCTACCCCGCTGCCATCCCCTGAGCAGGCACTGGAGTGCAGGCAGTTCCCAAGGTCATAGATTCTTCCCTCCCTACCTCCCCTCCCCTCCCTTCCCCTCCTCCCTCCCTCCCTCCCTCCCTTTGTTTTTTTATTTTTTTGAGACAAGGCCTCATTATGTAGCCCAGGCTGGCCTTGAACTGAAGGCAATCCTCCTGCCTAGGATGCTGGGATGTACAGGTGTGTTCCACTGTGCCCATCCATCTTGTTTTCCTCACCAGAATTCTCAAGTTATACCCCAGTTGCTTAAGGATCCCCTGAACCTGGGTGATAGTTAATATTTATGGGGCACTTAGTATAAAGTACCATGTTAACAAATTGAATTGTCAGAGACATTTTAAAGTAGGTATTCCTTTAAAGCCATTTTCTATTTGGTGGGAGCAAAACCCCAGAGCTCACCTGTGCACTCAGACTTCTCTGATGCCAGTCTCCTGTGACTGGTCAGCCACCTTGCAGGTGCTCTCTGACCATCACCATGGCAACCCACAGCAGCTCCTTCCATTGGCTCTCCACTTCTGGAACCTTCTTTTCTGGTAGCTCTGAGCTCTCCCTTTAGCTGTTGCTGAGGGAGAACAAAAGTACTGTCTCATACCCTCTGCTTGCCTGAACAGGACAGGCTCCAGGCCACCACTTTAATTTTGTTATTAAGGTCTAATCAGACAAAATCCACCATTTATTGTGAGTGAACTAGCGAAAGTGAGAGACACACTTCTGTGTCTCCTACCAGACAGTGAATTCCCAAGGGAAAGAAACAAACTCCTGTTTATCTCAATACTTGGCTACACCTGGCACTTAAAGGGGCCTGGTAAATGTGTTGAATAAGCAGATGAATGGACTTATTTTTACTATTTTTATTTTATGTGTATGAGTATATTGCATGCAGGTGTATAAGTGCACCCTTGTTTGCAATGCCTACAGAGGTCAGAAGTGGGCATCGTATCCCCTGGAACTGGAGTTAGAGACTGTTGTTAGCTGCCATCTGGGTGCTGGGAACCGAACTTGGGCCCTCTACAGGAACAGTCAGTGTTTTTAAGTGCTGAGCCATCTCTCCAGCCTATGAATGGACCTCTAACCTTTCCCATTGCAGAAGGTTATGTGGTCATGGGGTTGGCTTGACACCCAAGGTCACTTCTATGCTATGGTCTTGGGCCATACAGCCTTAAGCAAAACCCAAGAGTTGGCAAACTTTTTCTTCAAAGAGTTCATTGAACACAATTGTTCAGCCCTGCTCTGTTTGCCAAAACAGCCAGAGGTAATACTAAGCCAGTAAGTGTGGCTGTGATCTTAAGTGTCTTCATTAATCAAGTTAGGCAGCAGGCCTGGTGTGGGATGCTGGCCTAAGACTTACTGTTAAAAAATTCCTATGAGGACTGGGGAAATAGCCCAGTTGGCAAAGTGCTTGCTTTGCTAGCTCACGAACATGAGCTTGATCCTCAGGACCTACATAAAATAAGACCTGTGTGATGGGGCATGCTTATAATCCAACTGGGACGGGGACACAGGTGGATCCCTGAGGCTCCCTGGCATAGCCAGCTTATCTGATCAGTAAGCTTCAGGGCAATAAGAGATCCTGTTTCAAAAACCAGGGTGGATGGCTCCTGACCACACCAGAGGCTGTTCTCTGGTCTTCATACTCACATGCACCATGTGTGTGCTCACTGGCATGTACACATACACACATACACATATACACACAATCAATCAATCAATCAATCAATCAATCAATCAATCAATCAATCAATCAATGAAACAACCCTGGAAGGTGGCCTTGTCTCTGGCCTTGATGTCCATAGGCAGGACTGCATGGATTCTGTCACAACAGCTCCATCCAGTTCAATGTACTGAGCACCACCGCATGGCGCTTGCACGTAGGGTATTTTATTTTTTCTCCAGCTGGCTGTGAGCTCACACCCAACACTTGAGAAGCAGCAGGAACAGGGGATGAAGCGCTTGGGATTCAGGAACCTGACTGCTAAGGCTCTTTGTCGTGCTCTGCCCCTGACGGCGTATTGAGACCTTGGATAAATGAAGTTCTCTGGTTTTCACAGTTGTCCTGTCTGTAAAGCCCGTGTCCGTCTCTTGGGCTGTGATGCTTGGATGATCCTACACACTCAAAACTCCTGGAATTCTTTAAAGATTCCCCAACCCAGACCGCACACAGAAAAACCACATCACAACAGTCCCTGAGGATGGAGACGGGGGAGCATCAGTCTGCTCGAACATCCTTTGGGTAGGTCCAGCGCTCTGACACGTCTGGAGACTGGCATCTTCAGGTACCCAGGCACCTCAACCCCAGCTCCAGGCACAGACGCGGCCCCAGCCGTGGGGGCAGCAAGGCCTAGGAGCCCCGCCCACGCGCACTGGGATTCGCAGTCTCACCCGCTCGCCGCCTCATTCTCAGCTCTTATTGGTTTTTACAGATGCCACGCCCCGAGGCTGCACCAATCAGCGTGCAGGAGCTCCGGGCCTGGGGAGCGGCGGGGGCCGGGCTCAATCACAGCCAGGCGGGCGTCGGAGATGACTGGTTTGAGGCTGCGCGACGCCGGGAGTTCCCACGGTCCTGCCGACGCCTCGGTGATCCCCCACTGCAGGTAACCGCGGACCCCTAGGAGGACCCGCACCCGTGTGCACGCACCGGGAGAGATGGCCTTGGGACTTTTGGTCAGGATTTCTATCCTTAGCCCTTTCTGAGTAGTATTTTTCCCGGCGACCTCCCAGCCGGATGGCTTGTGTGTTGTGTTTGCGGGAACGGCGGGTTGCCCTGGAGGGGGAAACTGAGGCACGAAGGGGCCTCGATTTGCTGAGGCCCCACAGCCCAGGCAGCACTCGGCAGGGTTCTGGGCGTGGTTCAGCTTCTTGATGCTTTTAAGTTGAGAATTGCACCGGTGGGGAGGGGCTGTTTCCGACAACAAAAATACCCACACAGAAATACCCAAAATATCCCTTCCCAGAAGCTCTGGTTCTGGGAGCTGAGCTGGTGGGTTTCAGGGCGGCTCACATCCACCTAAAAGTGAAAGCCAGGCCTGTGTGGCCCCTGCCCCTGTTAGGGTTAGGATTATTTATGTACGCAGTGTAGACATTGGGAGTGAGAGGATGGAACTTTGTATCACGTGCTCCTTTTTATGGATGAAAATGAATGGCCAGGGTTGGAGACTCACCCTGTGCTCTGTAACGACTGGAATAAATCTTTTCTCCAGGGGCCACAAAGCAAACATTTATTGAGCTTCAGTAAGCTTTTGTTTTGTTTGAGACAGAGCCTCAAACTCAGTTTGTAGCCCAGGCTAGCTTTGAACTCGTGATCCTCCTGCTTCAACCTTTTGAGTACTGGGATTACAAGCATGTGCACCATGCCTGAGCGTGTGCCAAGATTTCTGAGAAGAGATTATTTTGTAAAGAAGAGAGGTAGTGCTTTGTGAACAGTTCTAGTGTTTATGTGTGCATGTTGCACAGTAACAGCATGCAACTCTGCTGTGTACGGGGAAGTAGGACCTCATGGAGAATGGATGGAGCAGAGCTGGAGTGATGGGCAGCAGCCAGTGAGATGGAGGAGCAGAGTGAGTTCCCTGAAACTCATGTCGAAGGGTGTGGACAGTGCCTTCGGACCTGGGGTTGTGGAGTCTGGCTGGAGCAAAGGAGTTCATGTGAAGAGATTTCATGTTAGGGGAATAGGCAGGCACATCTGGCAGGTCCTGTGGTGCCATGGTCCCGTGGTGGAAAATTTGGATGTTGACTTGAATGCCCAGGGAATTAGTGTAGATCTGTATCTTAGAGGCTCTAGAGGGTAGAAACCATTGGAGAGAGGCCACACTGAAGACAGGCAGGGCACCACAGTAATTCCCAGGGGAGTCACAGGAGATGGGAAGAGAGAAGTTTCCAGAGCTGCTAAGGAATTAGACTGTCCATATCCAGGGTAGCTCAGTAAAAATCCAGTCAGCCATTGTTTATTGATAGGGATGTGTTTTGAGAAATGGGCCAATAAATCATTTATTGATTTGCAAACACCATGGAGTGCTTTTGCATGAGCCTACCTGGTGTAGGGCGATCACTGGATAGGATAGCCTCTTGGTATGCAGAAGATGCATGAGGCTGCTGCCTGGGCAACCTAGTTACTGTTTCACAGTGAACATTTTCTATTTATAATAATTATTATTTATAATAACTCTGGAGTAATGATAACAAGATAGTACAGTACTATACAAACCAGTAAAGTGTCGTGTCTGGCACATAATTATATGTGCTGTGTGTTTAAGTCACTGGCAGCACAGAAGGCTTATTGTTACAAACTGATGAATAAATTGCTGGGTTACAGCATTGTAACTGCTACAGTGTCATTAGTGATGGGATATTTGGGGGGACATTATGGTCTTATGAGTCCACCATTGAACATATGGTCTGCTGTTGACCCAAAAGTCACCATGCCTTGCATCACTGTGTGCTGAAATGAAGTCTGTCTCTGGAGTTTTCCTAACTATGACTGCCTTTTGAAGAAATGGTCAATCTGTAGCCTAGGCTGACTTTGAACTTGCAGTGATCCTTCTGCCTCAGCCTCTAAAATGCTGGGATTTTAGATTTGTGCCTCTACTCTTGGCTCCAGCATTATTATGAGTTAAATTGTGTGTGTGTGTGTGTGTGTGTGTGTGTGTGTGTGTGTGTGTGTATACCTGCATGTGAACATGTGCCACAGAGATGGTTGGTTCTCTCCTACCTTGTTGAGGTAGAGTCTTGTTTCTGCCACTATGAGGCTTTCTCTAGGCAATCTAGCCCTCAGAATTTGCAGATACTTCTGTCTCTCTATCTTGGGGTAGGAGTGCTAGAATTACAGACACATGACTCAGCTTTTTACTGGGTTCTGGGAATATATCTCAGGTCATCAGGCTTGGTTGGCAAGTGCTTTTACTCCCTGGCCCTGCAGTATTATTTTTTAAACTGCAAAAAGTTGCTTACTAGACTGTAGTTCAAATCTCAGTTTATGATAGGGAAGTTGAGGGTGTTGAAATCTGGATGATTAGATAAGCATATTTTAAGACTAAATTTTTTGTAACACCAAAACTAAAATTAGATCCTCCCATGTCCTTCAGATTTTGAAATTTGGTAATGTCTGGAGGTGGTAGATGTTTGAGGAGGATGAGATTGTCACTCACTGTGCAAATGTACCTTAGAGCAGTGTAGCCTTTGGCAACCCACTGGTTACAGTTCTTGTAAATGCCCTCCAGGCTTGTATTCTGTTTCCATGTTGTCGTGTTTGTTGTGATATTGTTTATGGTGATTAAAGAAACTGGAAACGGGCTAAAATTCCATTAGGAAGGAAATATTTATAGGATGGATCTATAGATCTGTTTAAAAGTGATGTGGTGGCTCAAGCCTTTAGTCCCAGCACCTGAGAGGCAGAGGCAGATGGATCTCTATGAGATGGAGGCTAGCCTGGTCTACATAGCAAGTTCCAGGTCAGCTGGGGCTCCAGGGAGACCTTGTCTCAAAAACCCAAACCAGCACAAAACAAAAAAGTGAATTAACTAGAAAGAAATGCTAATTTCGAATAATGGTTACCTTGGGTAGGGAGAAGATGGGGTTGTATTGGGGAAAATTTCAACTGTAATACTTTGTGTGTTTTATGGAGGGGGGAAGACCTAATAGATTTACAAGGTATTAAGAGTTGATAGTTTAGGTTAATAGGTGAGGGATGGGGTGGGTGGGAAAGGGAGGTGGTTATTTATTGTACAATACTGTAATTTAATATAAACTTCTAAAATTCTTTTTTTTTTTTTTCTTTAAACAGTCCCATTATCCAACCCTGGCTGGCCTGCCTCAAATCCACAGAGATCCTTAGCCTCCCAAGTATACCACACTGGATGGGCACCAAAAATTCTTGAAGTATAAAATGATAAAGTAAAAAGTCCAACCTCATAATTAACATATAGCTATAAAATCTGCAGTCATTTTGGAAAAAGACCATATACTGGTGCTAAATCTCAGAATTGTAATCTTACTTAAGAAAGATTGCTTAGTTAAGAATAAGCATTAACAATAAATATATGGAGAAGTTATTAACTATTGACCAGGAGGTTGCATTATTAGATATTGAAATCTCCTAACCAACTGATTGTGATTGTGTTTGGAAAGACGTTAGACGCTTGTGGCTTCTGTAATGGTAAAAGATAATTAAAAAAAAAAAAGGCTAAAGTTTATCACTGAACAACTCTAAAAGGATTTCAGGTAACTTAGGACATTTACTGAAGTGTTACAGTCAGTTCAAAGGACACTCCTAAGTGCAGTCATGGCTGTAGACTAGAAATGTTGGAGTATGAAAATGAGGTGACAGGGAGGAAGTCGGTTGAGCCTCCATTTATTATAATTCATTTGCATGTCTAGATGAGAGTTATTTGCGTGGCTCTTAGTTCTCCACAGGTTACAGAGTAGACAATGACTTGGATGGAATTAGAAATAGATGACCTAGAAAGATTATCCAGTCTAGAATCTAGCTCATTATTGAATAATTTGATTACAGAAAAGATACCTTTCATTGTTCTAATTCTTTAGCCAAAAGATTTGAGACTGAGTGAGTTAGTCACATCATCCCATTTCATAGTTGGACAGTTAAGGCCCAGAGAGGGAGTGGTCTCTCCTGTGTCATAATAGAGGGCCATGTTTTATTTATTCATTCATTTTATTTTGTTTATGAGTGTTTTACCTGCAGAGGCCAGAAGAGGGCATTGGATCCCCCAGAACTCAAATTATGGATGATTGTTACCTGCCATGTGGGTGCTGAAAACCAAACCTGGATGCTTCTGCAAGAGCAGCCAGTGCTCTTAACCACTGAGCCAGCTCTCCAGCCCCAGAGGGGCCTGTTGTAAAGAGAAGTTAGGGCTGGGGATGTAGCTCAGTGTAGAGCACTTGCCTAGCGTGCGTGAGGCCCTGGGTTTGATCCCCAGCACTTTAAAAACAGCAACAGCCAAACAATACTGGATGTGTGGCACATACTGTAACCCCAGCAGCTGGGAGGTGGAGGCAAAGGATCTGGAATTCTAGTTCATCTTTGCCCACAAAGTGAGTTTGAGTCCAGCGTAGGCTACATGAGACCCTGTTTCAAAAAAAACAAAAACGACTAACATAACGTAAAGTTTCATTAAGGAAACAGTCTTAGCTGGCTATAGATGGTTATGTACACCTGTAACCTCAGTGTTCTGGAATTGGAGGCAGGAGAATTGTGAGTTCCAGGTCAGTCTTAGCTGTATACTGAGATCCTGTCTCAAAAACCAAGACAAGCAGACAGCCCTCATTGCCTCCTCCTTCCTTTCCCATGTTGTCAGCCATCTGCAGGATGATTTTATTTTAATGCCCCAGAAAGCAGGGTAGGATGAAGATGTCCCTGTTTGGAAAGTTCTTTAAAAATGTCATCACCTAACTAAGCTTGACTTGGCTTTTGTGGCTGACAGTGAGAGGTCATGCCTGTGGTGAGGGAGGTGTGGGCTTGTGGTTTCATACCTGGCTTTGAACTTGACCTAGCTCCTTAGATGGCCCTGTGACCTTGGCTTTAATGTATGTATGACTTATGACACACAGTAGTTTATCTAGCATGGGAACTTCGACCTAA